CTTTTTTTTTAATATTTATATAGAATATTTAAATTGGTATATTTCAGTTAATACAAAATTAAACTTTATTTATTTTTAATTGTTTCAAATAACAATATGTATAACAGTGCACAATAGTAATTATATAGAAAATATTAATATATCTATAATTATATAGAAAACATTAATATTTTTAGGCCTCTGGATCTTCTGATAAACGTATGCAATACAGACCCGTATATCATCATTGGTTCTACCGTAAGGAAGTGGAGAACAAAACATTATGGTTGCCATTCTCCATGCAGGACAGTTTGAAGTTAGAAGAAGCTCACAATTCCAGCGATATTACGCCTGAAACTACAGTAGCTACCGATGGTGGTCGTTACGATGTTGATATCTTACGCCGTCAAAGAGCACCTGTCTATTGGACAGGTACATCTACCGAAGTTAGGCGATGTTCCTGGTTTTTCAAAGGAGCAACCGAATCAAGATACGTTCCTTACAATGAGAGCACTGCTGTGAAACTTGAAGACGAATATAAACTGGCATGTCTCTCAAACAGTTGGAACCGAAAAGTTGAACTAAATAATGGAGAATATATTATCTTCCATAGCGCTACAGTCCAGGTTCATTATACACAGCCAACTACTCCCGACGCGACAGGATCCTGGGGAAATAATACCGTAAGTAAATTAATTACATGTAAAACAAATTGACTAATCAATGTTTCATATAAAATAAAGAAATATATATTTTATATGAAAAATATTTAATTAAAATGATTATAAAAGTTTAATAAAAGATAAGATGACGAAAATTTAAAATGCAAAGCTTAATTTGACATAAAATACTACATTAAATATTTCTTTATTATTTTTAACAGTTTTAGCATGTTATTGTATATTTTGTTCTATGTTCGTATGTTATTAATAATAAATAAGCAATAAATAAGTTTTATTTTATAAAGTATATATTTAATTAAGCTGAAATAAAATTTATTATAAATTTTGTCCTTTGTAATGCAATTTTATTTTATAAATGCTATATTAATTTTTATATTAATTTATAATTAAGCTTTTAATTTTGCCTAACAATACTACATTATCAGTGTAAAAATTATGTTTTGCTTTATATTATTACTTTTGATTTATTAGCTTCAAGCACTGCATAAGAACAAATGCATAGGAACAAATTATTAACATATTTTGCATTATTTTGCAGAGCATTATTTGCTATTATTTAAATGTCTTGTTTTCTTTTTTATATTTTTTATTATTCAACATAGGCGGTTTTCTAAAATTGCACGCATGGTTCTGTTTGATATGGTGGATCCTAATTTCTACAGGGTTCAGAGGACAGTACATATTTACAGGGTTCTGCAAGTAAACCAAAAGTTGTTAAAAGAGGAGTTGACGAATTCAATATAGATGAGGGTGAACCAGAGAAAGTAGATCATCTTTTATTTCTCGTTCATGGTATTGGTAGTGTTTGCGATCTAAAGTTTCGCACTGTAGAAGAAGTCGGTAAGTTGGAAAAATACATAAACATTAATTAACAATGTATAATTGAAAATGAATTAATAGTTTATTTATGAAACTTAACTTATGAAACTTCGAAAAATCGAATAGAATTAATCTTTTGTAAATCTTTCATAACAGTGGATGAATTCCGAAGTATATCGTTTCAATTGGTACAATCACATTATCGCACTGCAAGCGAGCAAGGAATCGTAAATAGAATAGAAGTTTTACCAATTTCCTGGCATACAACACTTCATACCGATACAGGAATTGATAAGCAGCTTCAATCTATTACGTTGGAAAGTATTCCGAAATTACGACATTTTACTAACGATACTTTGCTCGATATACTTTTTTACACTAGTCCGATATATTGTCAAACTATCATGCAAACAGTTGGAAGTGAGATGAACAGATTGCATGCATTATTTAAAGAAAGAAATCCTAATTTTGATGGTGGAGTATACTTAGGCGGTCATTCATTGGGTAGTTTAATCATGTTTGATCTATTGTGCCATCAAAAGCCAAAAGAGGAAGAAAAGGAAGACAATGAAGACAATGAAGAAGTAAGTAATAAAAAAGATACGGATAAAAGGAATTATTATAATTTTTTATATTATATATATATATATATATATATATTTTTTTTACATTATAATTTTTTGTGATTTTAAGATTAATTTAAAAATGATTTTAAGATTAATTTAAAAGCTTTTACATCTTTTGATCTTCAAATAATAAAATATTTATTATTATAGGAAAATGACAATATTGGACCCATTAAACCAATGCCCGCGGCTGTTCTTAAAAAGATGTCTGAGTAGACGAATCAGTTATGTAATGGGCGCGGCAGGAACAGGTCAACCTTACATACATTATCCGCAACTCAATTTTCACCCATGTGCCTTCTTTGCTCTTGGCAGTCCGATTGGCATGTTCGTAACGGTTCGAGGCATCGACACTCTTGGAGAAGATTTCACTTTGCCTACTTGTCCGGCTTTCTTCAATATCTTTCATCCATTTGATCCAGTAGCTTATCGAGTTGAATCCCTAATTAATCCTGAAGCTAGTAATTTCCGACCTATGTTGATACCACATCACAAAGGCAGGAAAAGAATGCATTTAGGTAAGTAAGAATTTATTAATTTCTAGAAATATATATATTTTATGATCTTTCATAATAATTTATAAAGCAAAATTAATATGCTTATTAATATTTACGGTTTGTAGAATTAAAGGAAACTATGGCACGTGTCGGAGCGGATTTGAAACAAAAATTAATTGATTCCGTTAGACATACATGGAACTCTTTCTATCAATTAGCCTTATTTCACAAGCCAGACAACCAAACTTTGGAACGTGAAATTGATAAAGTTGTTGAAGAGCAATTACAGAAACCGCCGAGTGTATCAGATCAACATAACAACGATGATGGTGGTGCCGATTTAAAAATAGGAAAACTTAACGGTGGTCGAAGAATAGATTATGTTCTTCAAGAAGCGCCTTTCGAATATATTAATGAATATATTTTTGCTCTTACAAGTCATATCTGTTATTGGTAAATAATTTAATTGTTACAAGAAATATTTTGCATTATATATATATTAGATACTAATTTTTTATAATTTAATTTTAGGGAATCTGAGGATACTATGCTTTTGATGTTGAAGGAGATATATGGATCTAGAGGTATTCAGACTGATACCCAACTTCCTCAGCAATCATTGTCAATCGAAAGAATATCTCCTTCTCCATCTTTAAAATTAACAACTGCCTTGTCACCTAGTGCAAGTAACGTAGGAACATCACTTGCTATGGGCATAGATCCTACAGTGCCTATGTCCAGTAAACCTGTCGGTCCACCACCTAAGACTGGTTTTGTACCAAAATCCTGATCGACAGAGTATTTTTCCTATAATTATATTGTATTGCAAAATTAAATTGTATTAATAGGAAAATTAATTTTATGTTTAATTAGTATAAAACAAAAAATACAATCGGTTAACATTAACATAACATCCTACATTAACTAAAAGTAGAATACAAAAATTAAATTAAATTTAATATTTTACATTTTATTTAAATTTAATATTTTTTTATAGTGTTTTTCCACTATTTGTAAATTTTAATAAAACACTATTTAACGATATATAAATATGAAATATTAATTGCACAAAATTGGCCTATATAATTAAGCTTAAAACGAGCTGCAATTTATAAAATCAGTTGTTAAATGTAAACGACAAAGGATGTAAATAATTCAATTTATTAATACGTTGAAACGATAGACAATTTTTCATTGTAATTTACGTTTATTTGCGTATTGATATTTATTGTATCAATATATATTGATATTAAGTTGTACGTAATTGCGGTTGTATGATCAAAAATATGTATGGAGTATTGAATAGAAAAGAAAGAATAGAAAATGGGAATGTGCAAATGATACCGTATAAATATGATTTATGATTTATCCGGATAAAGATACAGTAGATTACATAAATTTTCATAATTCGCTTGAACGAATTATAAACGAATTACCGATTTTAATTCGCGCTATGTACGCGCATATTTTAATAAATTACTGTATTCTTTTATATTATTGTAAATTATTCTTATTCCCTCACATAATTTAATTACAGATTCGCTTTTATGTTATTGCGTGTCGTTATTTGATTAATATAACTTGCATTAGTGCAAGTTAAATATGTATAGCGACACATGTGACAGAATTATAAAGAACTTTAACAGTAATCTCAACATCGTGCAGTCAAGCAGTGCCGATATGTTTCTTAAAATGGTGTTACATCGTGTTCAATCGGATCAGCGAATGGCGTCACCTTATCGCGCAAGCAGCTTTAGCAGAGCTAGAAAAAAAGAGAAAAGAGCTTCGGCACATGCACGGCTATCACGAAACGCTAATTAATTGCGGTGCAAGCCCACCAGGTTCGAGACTGCTTTGCATTTTGCGTGCAGGCCCTCGTAAAACTACATGCCTGTCAGCCCCGGCGAATTTCAAGATGATTTATCGTCCTTGCAAAACTAAGTTTTTCGCGGTACTTCGTGGCTTCTCAGCGGCTCCGAGAGGCACGGCCGACGTTTTCGACATGCAACTGTGGCCGCTGTGGGCACGATCCGTAAAGTTGACGTCGCTGATCGACTGCTATTTTATATCCTCGCCATCTAGCCGGACTGACTTTGAAATATGTTTCCTTCAAATCTTTGGAATTTTTGATCGACACGTTTCACGGTGACCCGCATACGCTATAATTGCGAGGAAATTAAATGCTTTTACGTGACGGCGTTTAATACGTACGGTTGAACCTGTATTGTCACGCGAATAATCATGCACACGGAAAGTCATGTTGTACATCAATCTTTTCGTAATTTTGTCAAATTATAATAAGAACCGAGAAACTATATAGACATTCAGTAAAGTCCATATGCTTTTCCTTAACACATTGGCATTAATGTAATCTAAGATTACTACTTAAATAGTTACTATTTATATGAAATTTATTTATACTTTAGAATATAATATACTTATCTACATAATTAAATCTATACAAAACCGCATAAATTCTCTAATATTCAAATTGCGCTACATAACAAATGTTGATTTACTTTAAAACATCATTCAGTATTTTTAAAACATATATATTCAGTAAGTTTTTAAAAACTGATAAGATTAAAAATTTTATAAAAAACATAATTTCTTTCTGCTTCGAATACCTTTCATTCTCAGGAGATATGAAAAGGGCATCTGCGAAAAATATTAACATGTGAATATGTTCTTTCAGATAAATAGAATTTTCCATAAAATTTACGTAAACTTTGTTATGTTAGAAATAGCTTTTCTCAAATATGCTATTCTATATATTATTTTCGTATACAATGCCATTCAAATCTGGCTGTCCGGCAATTCGATATGCTTTGGTTACTATACGATGCATGATGCGCAGCCACGTTTCCCTTTTCAACATGTAAATACTCGTACACCGCGAGACAGACGTTTACGCTCAACGGCGGTAACATAAAGTGGGGTAAGGGTAAGATTTTACAACGAGCCCTAGTAAGAGTGATTTACACCTCGGAAAAACTCCACGACATTTACGATAGCTACTCACGAATTATTTATAGCATCTAGCTGTGGCAGGGTGAATTTCATGAGATGTATTTTTCTTCGTTTTCCTGAAGAGATCGTCGAAGTCGTGACGAGGTAGATATCGTTGATGTGTTTCCATTGGAACATTAGCTTATATCTATTTAATTAAATAAGAAAAAGTATAAGAACAAACAATTGTTAATTGTTAACGCTTAAAAAGTTTATGTTCTTCTATTTTATGATAAACAACTTAAAAGTATTATTTAATTAAAAATACTTTAATTTCTTATATACAGTTTTTCTATAATCTAATATAAATGTAAATAAAATGTAAGTTTAGGATTAAAAACAAAAAGATTTATACAATATATATTCAAAATTGCACATATAATTAATCATGAATTAATAATTTTATTCAAAATGTTGCAGTAGAATTTAAAAATAATAATATAATAATAATATTTATCAAACTATAAGCACATATAAGTTCAGACTGTTTATTGTTTAAAATATGAATTATTTAGAATTAGAATTTACCGCTCATTCTTCAATTTGGCCTGCAATTTGACAGTCTGCTAGATCCACGCACGCGCTAAGAGCTTGCAATTTCATTATTAGGAGACTTTAGACCTTCTATATTCTAGTTGGCGTACATTTAAGTAAAATTACTCGATTCAAACAAGTAAGTGTGCGAGAAGCTGCTGTGTTTAACAGCTCGTCGCGGTGTGAAATAATCGAGTGTCAATATGTCAGATGATACACCAACAACTTTGTAAGTATTATCCAGATTATCTCAGATCTTTCTGATCATCATTGATTCAAGTAGTCTATAGTGATATTAATTTAAAAATGTATATAATTAATAAATATTTAATGAAACACTGTAAATATTAACGCAATAAGTGAATAAATAAATAAAACTTTTATATTCATTTGGTAGAATCTTATGTTCAAACTTTACTTTGTATAAAGTTTTATACATATTTCGTTTTTCTCAACAGCGCGCCAACTGTTAGTTTTAAATTAATATTACTGATGCCTATAAACATTTTACAGACTTACAAAGTTATTATTTTTATTAAAACTGTAAATCTTACATTAGATATTGATTATAATTTTTATAAAATTATTTCTATATTTTTAATACGCACATTTTACATGAAAGTTATATAAAAATAATAAAAACACTATTTCTTTATTTTTAATATTTAAATACGTAATGTGGTCAAATTTATGTAATTTTATACTCAAATAATCTTTCCCATTTTATATTTTAAATTTGATATTTTTATTTTATAACATTATTATTGCTTACATATTCATAGTTAATGCAGGATGAATAGCTTAAGACATGAGAATTCTGAATCGACATCTACATGTTCTTCAACTTAAAACATTATATATCCAATTTGATATTCACCCTTTAATATTCAGCCCCGCACATCAAGTTCCTCTTCCTGTGATTAAATGAAGAAATATTATGGTCATCCGAGCTTAGTTTATGTATGCCCGTATTGCAGTGCATTTTATTCCACGATACGTATAACGAGTTAATGGCAACTTTACTGCGCGACTCCGATGACATTTACTACTGCTCTATTCCTGCTCCGCTCACGTAACAGGCGCCCGTATTATCGTATTGTTTCCTGAAGCACTCTTCATTGTTCTTCCATTACGGAAATCGAGCTCTGGCTACGAGTTTAGAATTTATCGTGCGATACGTATCGTCGTGCGCCGTGTATATGGTATACATTTCGGAAATTTGGATTTTTGCCTATTTCCGCTCTAATTCGACTGTCGGACATATGGGTTTCTGGCACGTATCCATTCCTTGCTATATTTTCTAGAAACAACTCGCCGCTTCGTGACTGTGTTATCATCAAGATTGGCAATCAAATTCGAATTTTAAATTAATTCTAATACTTAATTTTCTGTCACATATATTTTATGTTAATAACATAGTTTGTATCCAAAAGATGAAATATGATTGGATTTATTAGTTTGATGATATAAAAATAGGAAAATTAATATCTCGCATGAATAACTAAAATTATGTCACGTCTATCAAGACGTAATATACATATATTAGCCATAAAGAATATTTTAGATGTAAAAAAAAATCCTTTTCTCTCAAATTTTTCAAGACTAATTAAAGAAATTATATTCTTTTAAATTAAAAAGAATTTTTATGGCGATGTAACGAAAAATTCCACAAATTTCTATAAATACATTTGTAATAATTAACAGCTTATATTTTATAATTGATATTAATTTAGGTATGTGGGCAATTTGGACCGTGCTGTGTCAGAAGATTTATTATGTGCTCTGTTTTCGCATATCGGCATCGTTAGAAGTTGCAAGATCATCAGAGAGGTAAGATATTGTTGTCTTTTTTACAATGATAATAATTTTTATTTAAAATTATTGTATAGATACAAATCAAACTATATACGATTTAGTGGCTACATAGAAATATCGAGCCATATGACTCTAATGTTATAGAGTTTTACATTTATTTTCTATTTATACCGTCATAATTGATTTTGATCTATCAAAGTTATTTGTGGATAAGTGTGGCTATTTACATGATATACTCGTATTATCAAGAAGCAGACCGAGACAAGTCAGTTTGTCTTTTGTGATCTGCAAGCTCCACCCTCAAAGATTACATCGTTTGCACGAAAGCCCGCATTAAAGCAGTTCTGTCGTTATATCAATAATCGCGAGCTGTAGGTGAACATACATCTTATTCACCGTTATTGCATTAATAACCGTTTAATTCTCAGAACATAATAAGATATCTTCATTCTTTAGAATAATGTTAGTTTGAAATGTCAATTTAATTATCTCAATTATTTATTATTAAAAAAGTATCATTAATAATACTTACTTAATTGTTAGTTTTTTTTAAAGAACATATGTAATACTTAAAAACAATACAAACTTGAAAACAATTTTTAACATATAAAGAACACGCAATTAACAAAGTAAAAGAAATAAAGAATATATCTTTATATGTTTCTGCATACTAATGTAGAATATAATAATTAATCACATATATTAATGTTATATTTAGTGTTAAATTTTATTTTAATTAAATAAAATTATAAAATATTTTGTTATATAAATTTAAATTATTGAATTTTCATGAACTGTAGCAATTAGCTTTAAATTATCATAAAATTTATATCGTATATATTTCTCTTTCATTCTAATGTTATTATTAAAAATTATTTATATAATAATAAATATATTTTCTCTTTAGCCATATGTATTATAAAGAAAATATAATATTAATAAATATAGTCAACATTTAAAAAAAACGTTAAATCTTTAAACATTTAAACAAGATGTAAAGAATATAATTATCTCACAAGCTATGAGAGAGTTAATAAAGTGCTTGAGTAAAAGTATGATTTAGCAATTCGTCAGCAAAGGAAAAATTAACACTTTATTCGAAGGAATAATAACGTTTTACAGAAACATACACACGTCCACATATGCGCTTACATGAGTGCATGCGAAAACAACGAGATCAGACAGAAGCGCAAACGTCCACAAATGTAATTGCGAAATGTGCGAAATATGCGGATATGGTAGACGCGTAAAGCATCAAACGCCGAGGTTTGTACACTTTTCTCCTTGATTCTCATAAGATTTAACCTCTCACTTATTTCTCCCCATTTCTTTCGGCTCGTTATATATTATTTTCCTTCTATACTGGTTGGTTGCATGCACCACGAGATATACGCTCGTTGCACGATGCGGTTTCGTGCGACGTAACACTTGTTCATCATCCACCTTCGTGTATACGTCACACAAAGTTTTTTTCCTCATCGTCACTGTTCTTCTCTTGTTTCCTACCGCTCTTTTTCTTCCTTCCTTCATTAAACAGCAAGTATATAAGCGATACGCTGCCTATTATAGTAGATATTATGTGGCTCGGGAAGTAATATTAGCAAGGTACGTTAGACTCATTTTCTTCGTACATACTTGCGATTAGAGATGCTGAAAAAGCAATTTGTAAAGAATGGATAACAGAAATTAAAAAGTTGAATTACCGTTTTTTATTTTTATCGCTTTACTGATAACTTGTATAATTTTAACTAAATTTTGAACAATATTTTAGAAAAAATATATAGTAATATGAATAACAATTTAAAACTATTAAATTAAAGCCAAAAAATGTATGTAATTAAGTATTACTATTATTATTTTTATGCTTATATTTAATAAGTGTACTTTGTTATTATTTATACAAATATAATTCAAATTTTTATAATGTAAAAAATAGCAATTAGTATTGTTTTATATTTTATTTTTAGTATATCATTAATTAAATATTTTAAAAATCTTTATTTTGTTAAATTTAATTAGTTATTTTGATTATTAAATGCTTTGTAGATTTGTTTTATATCTTAGATTATATTTATTTTTTATATCTTTGTACATAGGCAGATATAATTAATCAATGCATTATAAAAATTACGATGTTACAATTACAATATATTGTTAAAGTAATAATTGTATGACTATTATATATTTTATAAATTTTTATTATATATTTAAAAGTTTTTCCATTTTTTATTTTATAAATTTTTACAATCTTGAAATGCGTATACTATGCAATTATTATTATTAAAAGGTAATAATTTTATATATGTGCGTACACATATAACAAGTCCACCAATATTGATATAAAATAAAAAAATTCTATCAAAATTCAGATAAATTTCATGTGTAAGTTTTCCTCAGTTGAATAAATAAATATTGTCAGTAAAACCAAATTGTTGATTCTGCTGACCCCAAAAGAATATTCGTTAATTAAATATTGAAAAAATTGAAGTTATTATTTTTTTCCCTGTAGTACTAACTGACAAATATTACTGAAAATGAAATATTTAAAAACTAATCTTACTGTCAGTTATTAATAGTTATTAGTAATAATGTTAAATAGGAGGTCAAATTAATTTTGTCTTATTCTTATTGACATAATATAAAATTCTTAAAATTAAACTTATTATTATTACATTATAAAATACGAAATTATAAAGGTATCAAGAAAATTAGTATTCAAACAATCGTATTTTAAATCAAATTACAAGAATTTTATAATATTGGATGAAAAATAAATTCTGTTAAAATCGAGCTAAATGCAATCGTTTTTTTCGAAACAATTTTTGTAATAAATGTATTAAAATTATCAAAATTGTGATTTAGAATATAGAAAATATTATTAATTTTGCAATTTGATAATTTAAAAGATACAGTTGATATATCATTTGTAAATTATGTTGTAACCGCTGCGCGTAATTCATCAAATGACTTTAATGAAAATGACGTTTATGATATATTTTAAGGAAGTCAGATAAGCACATGATACTACATTTTTGTGATTAAATACCATCATAATAGCTTAAGCTTAATATATAATAAAATTACATTGTGCATCTTTTAGAATGATTACTGATTACGTCTTAATAAATTCATAAATAGAAAAGAACTTAACGGTCAAAGTCCGCGAAGTTTTCTACTACTTGACATAAAGAATTTTACTTCCTGATTTACGTGACGAAAAGTAGGAAGAATGTAAGCTTTCACTTTTTCTCGTATAATCATACGTAACACAATACTAATTACTAGTGTGAATGATGCTAAATTTATTCACTTCCGCATGTTAAATTTCAATATGTCTATCCGGGTTCGTAATGTGACACTTAACATGAATAAAATGTTCATCACGTTTTTCATATTTAGTTCTTCAGTTTGCATCACTCTGGTCCAAATGCTGAATGCTGGTGTCGCGCGTATCTGTCACGATCTGTCAAGTAAAAGCGCGATATCTTCTCGATATCTTCGATATCGACTTTGTGGAAACGTGCTTTGATGATACAACCTGTCTAAAATATTTGCTGATAAGCACTATAAAATAAAATACGTTATATTTATAAGCTCTTTTGCAAGAAAATAAGTTATATAAAAATAAATTTTATTAACGTGTAATTTATTAACGTATTTTAATAAGAGATTATTACGTTCTCTCTCTTTCTTCCCTCCTCTTCTCTCTCTCTCTC